TAACCTTTACTACGACCAGTACATGCACACCCACTAATCCTAATCCCAACCTTAAACCTGCATTAATCAGTCATTTGTGACCACTGGGGGGGAGAACTCCACAACAAGCTAAAATTCACATTTATTTGGAGTCGTGTTTAAAAAACTTTTTTTTAAATTAGTATAATAACCTGAATATAGGAATCATTACGCTTTTATTACCTTAGAATGAGCCGTGGTGACTTCGATGGAGTCTGGCATGTTGAACCATCATGTTTCTACAATAGCCCAGAAGGGACAGGCCAAACTTCTTTTTTTTTACGAGTTTCGTGGACACTGTATTTCCTCCTACACATTTCACAGCCCATTCTCATTCTCAGGTTATTAAATTCCGGCGATGATGGTGTTCAGTTAGTTGCAATCTGCAACTTCACCTCTACATGCCACTAAATCTTAGACACTCGTCCTTTAAGTAATATTTTAGTGAGTAAATATGTTTGTGATTTGTTACAGTGCTATTGGCATACATTTTTTTAAAACATTAGGGAAATGTAATTGGATATTCCAATTATATAATGTAACCCACTATTATTATTATTGTTATTATTATTATTACAAAGATTTAGGTTGCCAGATATTGGAGTGTGTTCACTGCCCAGTCTAACTTTTATTCCTACCATGTAGTTGGATGGGCGAGTAGAATACTGTGAGTTTATTAGAGGTTTTATACTGAAAACAACAAGCAACCTGCTGTGGCTAAACACAATGCTGATGAAAGTGGTGAGACTAAACCAAAATATTACATTTAGTATCGTAAAAAAGAAAACAGTGAGCTGGGGGCAACTAAAAAAGGTGGGTGATAATCTAACCTCACCACAAGCTAAAACTTTAGAAACAAAGTAAAAAAAAATGGTGCAGCTTTAACCTAACTGATCTGAACCAAAAACAAGTCTTAACCTTTAAATTTAATGGTTTACATTGTGAGGACCTAGATTTTGTCCCAAGATCAGTCGTGAGTCCCTACGATGTGACTGCATGAACAGATGTTTCCACGTTTACCCTCACACAAACACACGCACACACACACACACAAACACAATGGATTACAGTAAAGTGCTAATGGAAGGATCGTTCAGATGTTAAATCCCTGTGATGTTTGAGTGTGAAACAATCAGCGGTACAACAGGGCCATGACTCATCCCATAACTGGAATCAGAGATGTCAAGTATGTAAGTAAGTAATGGAATCATTCTTCAAAACCAGTCTGCATGGATTTGTCACAGCTTGACTTCCACAATTACTGCTGTAGTCATAGAATCCCGACACCACATGATGTTGGCAACAGCTTGGTTCAGACTGAATAGACACTGCTGCTGATGGAAACGTCTGCATTTCACAGCCTGTGTTCACTTAAGTTCAGAAAAATCCATTGAATCTCCTTAAAATGTGGAGTTCTTGCTGAGGTCGAACATCTAACGCAAGACAGAACTTGCTTTGAAGGAACCACAAATCAATATGGTTTTCATTAAATATTATTTTCATGAAAAGAGATACATTAGAGGAAAACTTAATATACAACAAACACAATTTAACATACCACAGCAGTGCGTTTACAACCACAAAGCAGCAGAAGTAGCTCAAGAAGTGAGCAGAGGAAGGATGGATGAGGAGCTGTGGGAGAATACAAGCAAACAGGGGAGGTGGTTGTCGCTGCCTTGCTGCTATTTGGAGCTTTGAGTCACTATCCAGTTCATCGACTGGACCTCTGCTCGCCAGCCAATCACGAGAGAGCAAGCAAGGACCTGAAGCCTCTTTTAGCCCACAATCAACACCCTGCAGATGCTGTCACAGCTGAACACAGCTCACATACAGTGGACATGAGATAGTCACTGATGGTGTTTTGACCTGTGCTATAGTGGTGATATGCAGCAGGTACACGGTAAAAATGTGAACGGGGATTTTTGTTTTGTTTTTCTTCTTCGACCCACAACACTTTCTGCCTCTGGGAAGAAATGTGAGAACACACTGTAACACCAGGCGAAAGTTATAAATTGAGCAATGTTTTTTTTTTTTACTCTGGGTTGGATCTTTTGGTTTTGCAGTGTAAAACCCTCAGCAATTCCTGAATATCTGGGGAGGAGTTGCTCATAAGCCCTGCAGAGGACTATCAGTTTGTTGACAGCAGGAGTACCAGGGGTATAGATTACTGTTTGCTGTTGCTATCTCGCTCTACATCTCTCTGAGCATTGGTGTGTGACAGGTGTGTGAAATCTCTGAGTTGGCAGTAACAACTGTCGGTCAACAAAGCGACTTTCTGCAGTAAATTCGAACAGAAATGCTTTTTTACCATGAAGTCCTCATTTTTAAACTCTAAACTCAAACTTTACATCTACCTCTTGCAAGCTCTCCAAAATCAATCAGTATCCAGTCTGAATAAAAGTGCATGAGACACAGCTGGATACGCTAACAATGGTTCAGCTGCAGACAGAAGATTGTTCTCTGCTGGGTATTAAACTGCAACAGCATTTCCCTGGGAGCTATTCCCTGCCCTCTCTAATGAAAGCAATCACACAAAGCAGAGAGCAACACTTGGTGTGACGTAAAGAAAGTAATTCTCCCTTTTACATTGTCTTGAAATTTTAATACTCACCGCAACATTAACTGTAATCAGGTTAATGGTTATTTTTAGGAATGAGGTGTTATTTAGTGACTTGGAAAGTCACAAATGTTTGTCTGCTTTATATTAGATTGGATTCAGTTGTTTTTTCTACATCCCCTTCATATCTACATCATAGAAGTCTTAATTTGAGAAACCCGGTTACAGTGTTAATGTTTTATTCTAACTAAGCAGAATCCTGCCTAGGGTTAAAATGAGGAAAATCAGTTACGACTGTGTGTCATCATACATAGGCTAAATGTATCTACTAGATTATGTAGACGTGAGAACTTGATATACAGTACGTGCACAAATTTATTCAGTGTGATTTGTATGCCTTGAGTAATTGTCACTTGCTATTTTTAATCTGCTCCGACAGGACTTGTTTAAATGTAGATACCATGTGTCATTGTAGCCTTTCTTATTGGAGATTTGAACGCAGCCAAGAAAATAATTTAAGACGATATCTGTAATGTCTTGGCTAAACATCCAAATACTATCCAGTACAGTAGACAAAGACATGCGATAAAATCTTTGCTGTTTGCTAAGCTTTGGTTGAGGCTGTGCCTGAGAGGCGTTGATTTAACTGTGGCAATTTTTAAGGCTGTTGGTGATATTGCATTAAATATTACTATATTGCAAGCTGTACCTTGTCCATCCCCTCACTTACAAAAGGGGCAACATCTTACAACATACTGCAATCCAGTGCAACTCTACAAACTATGGCGTCAAGCCTCCTCCTGTTCAGCCTCAAACTGAACATTGCAAGCTTAACAAAGCTCTTCTTTATTACATTGCCCTGTACTGAACCATACTGCATTGTGCAAGGGTTGTTTTAATTGTGTCAACCCCAAATACAGGTCGTGCTCACCTGTAAAAAAAACTATGGAAATTCATATTATTAACTACTCATTTTTTTTGCCTCCTTCAATTTTAGCAGCTACCTTCTTACACACAGCATCATTACAAGTACATAAAACATTTTATTAATACTGATTATTGTATTGATTTCTTCTAAATCCAACATGAGGACATGTGAGTGTGTGGCCTAAGACAGAGGTCAGTGTTTCCTGACAAGCTGCAACCATCCATAATCAGACCGAATAAGGCTACGTCAAGCAGAACACATGGAGAACAGGAGGAGGGAGAAACTGAGATGAAGGACGTTTTTAGAAAAGGAGGATTCAAACTATTTAACTCTGCATGTGGAGCACAGGTGGGCAATCAGACAGCAGCATATTGCCCGGTGGCTTCATCCTCCCCGGGTTGACGTGACAAGTCATTTCTGAAGCTGCTGGTTTCACCCTGGGGAGCTGGCATCCAGGTGAGCCTGGAGCGGAGCACAACAGATGCTTTGACTGAGGCGGAGGAGAAAGAATGCATGGATCGTAATCTGACCCAGACAAAAAAACTTACGTTTTTACTCAACACCCTCAGATAATAAAATTCGAGTAGCTAAAATAAAACAAATGATTTTCAGTGGAGTGAATTGAATTAACATTTAGATTATACTGGAATAAGCAAATGAGAGGAACATATTTTCATGTGAATCCATTTTTTCTCCATTCAACACTCCTCACATGTATGCCAGAGAAAATACATTTCTTGATGTCAATTTAAAATAAATGAATCCACTAATAACCTACATTCTGTCTTATCAACATGATCTTCATATAGTTACCACAATATACCATACAACCTAATTTAACAGCTCTTTGGGAATTTTAAAGCATGTAATTTTAGTTTCTGAAATCTAAATTACTTTGAAAGAGAGGGAAGATAGACCTTAATTAGGAGGAAAACTTTAATTACAGAATTAATTTATTCCAATTAACAAGATACAAGGCGTGTTGGGCTCTCTTCACCGCCCACGCAGACACTCATACAGTTATCACCAGGAAATTCAGAGAAATACACTTACATTACTATATTGCATATTGTATGCAAAAACACATACAACATACAGTACATGTTTTACATTAATTTCTCCATTGCATTAGCAATATGAGAGGGTATTTCTAAGCAGCAAATATGCAGACTTTGCCACTTGCATGACAAAGGATGCTGCTTGACAAACGGTGCTCCATCTACTGAAATTACAAGAGTGCTTGACTGAATACTTTATAAACAAAGAGGCTTAGAACGCTCTATACCTCTTGGAGATGAGTCTTTGTTGGCATTAAAAAAAAGCCACAAGAAATAAGGTGAAGCCTCAGTCACCACTGAGGGTTTAGTTACCTCCAGCGAGGTTTTCTCTAAATACCAATATGAAAACAGGGTTTTGTTTGGGCAGTTGATCATCGTCTCTCATCTGCCTCCAGCAGACTTCAGATCTGATTCAAATCATAATATAAAGCGTCCTCGTCAGTCAGTAGGCTCCAACAATGACCGCCTCCGTTTCTTTGGACGGTCTCCTGTCCGTTACTAAAAAGTTAATCATCCCCTCTGACTTTATGAGAAGGTTGCAACCCAAGAAAAATATGCCGAACACCACCGTGAGGGACAAAACGCACATGACGGCTATCTGGACCACTCTCATGATGAAGAGGCTTCTCTCATCCGGAGCGGCGGCCACAAAGCCGTTATCAGTCACCACGGACGAAAAGTTGCAGCAGAAGAACTCCTCCGTCTTGTTGAGCAGCCCGCCCTCCGTTTGGTTGAACCCGGTGTTATTCATTTCCACTTTTCTTGAAAATCAAACTTTGCTTGCGAGAGATGTAAAAAGGAAAAAAAAGAAAAAAAAGAAGAAGACGCGCTTGGCACAAACGAGCTCCCAAGAGAGATTATCATCAAGTGGAAAGTGAAGATGATGAGGCGCTGAATTGAAGAAGAAGTTCCGTCAGGTCACACAGCGCTCTTCTGGAGTTTAACAAGCTGCTTTGGCATCGCATTACTGGAGATTTCATGTGTTCAGTAGCCAGTTTCGGAGCGGAATGAATCCACCAACCCGCGGTTAAATAGCCAGACTCTACCTGCCTGCGTTAAAGCGCTCGAGTGGCGGGACAAGAACAGCAAGAGCGCCACCATACGACCAGACCGCATGCGTGTCACCAATGTCCATGTGCACTAAAAGCATGTGCAGTGCTGTGTAGTACATTATGTTCTCTGTGTGTATTATGTATGTGTGCTGGTGTGTGTGTGCATGTGTTTGAGTGATCAGTGTTTACACATTAACAATATGCAGCCCACTACCAGAGGACAAAGGAGGGATCCTGCAACAAATCCTACCTGAATTTAATTACGTTTTTAAATCACATAAAAATCACCATTCCTTAAAAATATTACACGAACACACACACAATCTCTCTGTGTTAAATTCAGTTAAATTCAGTTTGCTTTATTGGCACGAGTGTAACAAAGACAATACTGGCAAAGCATTAAGAAAATTTAGAGTAAAAAGAAAAACAAACAAACATCAGAATTCATAAAATCAAGAAAATATTAGAAAACAAATACTTTGCCCTGTGTGTGTGTGTGTGTGTGTGTTTGACAGAGATTGTGGACGTGTGTGTTAAAGTGGAAATATGATATAAATATAATACTATTAAAAATAAATCAATACATTAAAAAAACATTTTCACTCCTCTTTTGTGGACATTTTATTAATAAATAAACTAACAGCGGCTCAGTTCTATTCAGTGAGGCATGGCAGCGTGACAGTGAGTCAGCATGAACAATACCAGGACCCTGAAACCGAAACAGCTAAATAGAATTCAGCCTTGCCTACGGTTTTCCTACCATGTCAAACATGTCCTCTGTGAAAAATGTCTGTGGAGGCAACAACAAACTAAACAAGTAATTAAAAAGAGATGAACGACAACAGCAGAGCTCGAAGACTCCTTCAGACGTTGGTGGTAAACATATCATAATTACTTATTTAATAACTAATTTCAACCCAATATAAAGACAAGTAGAAGTGGAAGTTCATCACTCAAATGTTTTTTTCTCTCCCAATTTTCCAACCTGCTGCACAAAGCCATGACATAAACCCACTGGAACAAAGAGGAACCAGGACATGCACTGACATCTAGTGGATGTTTTAAATCTCGTGTGAAGCCAATGTTTGTTTTATCTGCATGCCAAATGTGCATTTATGAATGGAGGTCAGATTTATCTCACAGTGCACCACTACAGCATATTTGTCAGCTGTTGCATTACGGTGGCGTTCAATGGAGTATTAACAATAAAGACTTCAAATAAAAAAACTGTTTACAGTCTGTGACAGTGCGTCATTGATAGAACATCAGAGTTATCATGAAGTGCTGAATGTTAATATAATACTGGGCTTCGATTTGATCTACTACATTGGCTGGAGGCCTGTGCAATGCTAAAGGCCTCTCACCAATAGCAGCAGATGGCAGCATTGTTCAGCCAGATTCAGCTAAGGTCTGCCCTAAAATAGCTGTGAACTTTGGGTCAATTTAAATGAATTGGCCCATAGACACATAAGCACATGCACACAAAAGTGTGTTTAATTTATGCTGTTGATTAAAGTGTTTATTTAACCACTGCCTGGCTGTGAATTACTTCAAAGTTACTTTAACCTACTACTTTTAGTCAACAGTGTGAAGACTCTGGGGGTTGAGGTCAAATCTGGAAATGACGTAGAGTATTTTAACAAATCTGACAAGTATATTATTCTATTGCATTCTATTGCACAAATTACTCATTTAGTCACTTTTCTTGAGATGACTACAGGGTCAGAATATAATGTTATTACTGTGTTATAGCCAACTTTAGGTAAATGACAAGCAAAATACAGCTGTAAAATATTAACATTATTTTCACATTTTCTGGATTAATCTCATCCACAACAACTGAAAATACTAAAATGTAAATATTTCAGAAAGCTGTAAACTGAAACTAAATGTGTATACTCAATTAAAAGGGAATTTTGAGACAAGGAAACTTACCTGATAAGTAAGCTACCATGGGAGTCTGTGTTTTTCATTCAGAAATAACGATTTAAAACAAACAAAAACACAACTATTTTGCCTCCCCTGAGCAAATAATTAAACTTTTTAATGCTTTTTTGCGTGGAATACATAGAAAACAACCACAAAATGTAATAAATGTAACTGAAAAAAGACATTATTTGTTACAACCAAGCGTTACAGTAAACTCGCAGCCCTAATCACTATTATGTGGCGGTGGTGAGCGCGCCTACATTTACCAGACGCCCGTGACGCTCCACAGCCAAGAGGATTTCATGAGTGACGTCGCTTTCGACCAATCAGAGGGCAGAACCGAGCCATTTGCAGAAGGTCGGTCTGAGCCGAGGTTAGATTGTGCTGAATGTTATCTCGCCTGTCCTCTCTCACCGTTATAATATTCAGTCGGAGAACAGGTGCGTGCCAGGGCGCGTGTGGCGTTCACCGCATCGGCGTTAAAGCGAATGGGGGAATTGAACGGAGACTGCTTAGTGTTCACCGGTTTACTGTGGCTCAACTGGGGACAAACCATATCAAGGAGTCCAGACAGGTACTATGAGAGAGAGGCATTACTGGACGGACACTATCACACGGGATTTCGGACTACTCTGTATTGAGATGAACTGTGTAACTTGGGTGTCGTTTAGAGACGTTGCGCGTTTACCGGACCGATTTATCCAGTTTAAATTTTAGCCCCTAATTGTGCAGTACGTCGGGTTCATGTTATCTGCGTTCAACACGTTGCCTGAGAGCGAGGCTGGAACAGGTCACTGGTTCACTCCATCCATAATTTAGGTAAGCAGAATATCCTCAATCCTTCATTAGGCAAATAATGTCACGGGCTTATTCCTTTGCACGACATTTAATGACGGCGTTTATGATTTTATATTCTATAAATGCAAGGTTACCGTGTTTGGTGGCTCTTAACTGCTCTTGTTACAGTGTTCTCCCATCTTACTCCTGTCACATCCCACTGTTAATAGAATTAAGTCAATATGTATTGTACGTGCAGGTGAATGGATGTGGATGAGAGTAGTGTAATGTTTCTGTGTTGTTTGGGTGATAAAAGAAGCTACATACACTGGCCTAACGGGCTTATTGGGATCAGCTCTATAATTACCTCCTGTTCCTGGTAGGGTTGGGTGTAGAGCTGCATGTTTTTATACTGGTGCCAGTCCTAATACCTGAGTGTCACTACTGGGACCAAAACGATGTTTTTTCAGTCTTTTAGTTGAGGAATATATATATTTATTTATATATGTTAAAAAAAAAAAGATCTCAGTATTTTATATGTTGTATACGTTGTTGTGCACTCAAAAAGTATTGGTGTTGCAGGTGCAGGAGCGTTTGAATGTCTCTCTCCCATCTTCTATCCTTGGAGCACCCATGAGCAAGGCACTTCAGTCAGCAGAAATCTGGCATGGCCACATACGAGTGTGGTTCCGGTGTCAAGTGTTGAGCTTAATCAGTTGTATTACTGCTGACAGAAATGAGTTAACAGTCTGGCAGTTGCATACAGTAGGAGCTCTCCTTTTTGAATGAATGAGGGATACATAAATTAGCTCATAGCGCTGCACCACACATTTCACAACAAAGAGTGTTGCTAACAACACAATTAGCTGTCACATCAAGAAGCAGTTAATAACGCCTGATGGTTTACAAAAACCATGCACAGCCGACAAGAAATATATTCATCTGTGCAGATGGTGAGGCTGATTGACTCAGGCTACACCGGAGGACACTCCAGCCACCTGCCGGTGTATCACGGTTGGTAGTACCAAACCCAAACATGTGTCTGCCACTGACGCACCAAAGCAGATGGTTAGAGCTGGAAACAGAATCATCATTGGTACTGTCTATGATGTGAGGGTAGGTGATATGCTACATACATACTTGCAGCAGTTCAGTTTTACTGAGACCATTTTGTTGACTACACTCATTATCTTGAAGTCTAGATGGCGTCCATCTACTCGGGTTAGAAGTCAGCGAATGGTGTTTGACTTGTGTCTGTCTGAAATCGTCCGCCGCGCTGCAGCTTCATGCAGCTGGACAGAGGCTGCCTTGTTTTTGAATGAGATAAGAATTAGCCCAGGGCAGCGGTGTCAGACCCTCTGATGGACATTTAGACAGGGAGTGGGGAGGACAGTGTGTGTGTGTGAAGTGCAAAATCATTACCACGCTGCAAGTGAAAGATAAGGGAATCTGTCAGATTCGCCACAGGAGATGCTGCAGGCATTTTCCACTAGTTGTAAAAGTAAAGGGTAGGCTAAGTTATTATGCATACATGCATTTGCAATCAAATGCCCAAACCTATTTTTAATATAGTGTTACATTTTGAGCACGAGCAGTGGAAATTTACTACACTGTGTGACGTATTGTAGGTTATGTTTGAACGTCTAAAAGGCTACCGGGTATTTTTCGTGTTTGAATTTTTTCTATAGCTGGAAGCATTTTTGTCATCGTTCGACTTCCATTCTGATTATACATTCATAAGCCTTTCAGTCAACAAAAAAACTATAATTTCAGTCAAGTAGAAATCCTGTTTGACGGAAAACGATGTTGTTTTTCATCAGAAATGTTGTGAGGCATACATTCCATGCCAATGAGATATCTAACCTCCACAAATTGCCTCTGGATTGAAAGCTTCCCAGATGGTCCTAGCAGCACTACTCATGTAGAAAGTGGGCGAAGGCTGTAAAGGGGAAATTAGCATTCATTCATCCTTTCAAGCGAAGAAATGTGGAGGGTCTGGGGTCAGTCCAACGTGGGAAATTGGGTGTGTGAACATCCCCTTTTATGAAGGTCTGTGTCCGACCGAAGGCAGTGACACCCGTTAAACCCTGGTTTAAAAATACAGAAAAGATGAGAAAAGTCTATTAAAGAAAAAAAAAAAGGAGAAGAAAAAACCTGTGGTGGACCTCAGCGTGCCTTCCTGGCTGGAGAAAGACTTCTGCAGAGCCAAGTTGGCGTTAGAGCTCGGTGATAAATCGATTAAAACGATGCAAAAAAATGACTCAATCGTAAGTTTAAACATCAAATCTAATAATGCAGACATACACAGCTGCGAAGGACTCAACAAGCCCCAAGACACTCTTCCACACAGAACATGTAGAGTTATTTTCCCATAGTATCCGATATGAGAAGAACAGGCCCCGGTGATAAGTCACACATCTCCAAAGATGTGGTGTCTTTTGTAAGTTTGTCTCAATCTATATAGGAAAAAAGAAGAGAATAATAAAGGGTCATTAATCGGATGGGGTTTTTCATTTTTCAGTGGTGCCATTTGTTTGGATCTGGTTTTGTAGGGGAGAGCATGTCTGCAACACTACACTACTTCAGTACACTGCTGTTTAGTCACAGATTTTACCTTTTATCTAAAAAAAAAAGCAGCTTCTGTAATTTGAATATTGCTCTTGGCCATATTGCCGCTTTGATAATATTTTTGATTAATTGTGTGTATTTTAGAGCTTGAGCGATAAATCACCAGGGCCAATATATGAGACTAACATTATTAGCTTATCACAGATAGGTATTGGTGTGTTCACTAACAACTGCAGTACACAAAATACCAAAGATATATGTGTAAACTGTTCCTCTTAGTATGTACCGATCCAACTTTTCGTCCTCCTGATGTTTCTGATACCTCAGTTCAGTGTATCTGCTGATTCTGATTTCTGATCTGAGACCAGTGCTCTCTTTTCTCCAAACTTGCTTACCTCCCTGCAGTGGAACTCACTGGGGCCATTTTTATGTGAGGTAACATGATGCCAGAGATTGCTGTGGCACTGCAAACTGAGTTAGCCACCCGCTATGGCTTAATGAATGTAACTGATAGAGGAAACGCTGGGCTTTAAGATGATTGTTTTCAAATGGGGATCTCTGGCCGATAGATCTGCCAAATATGACCCTCAACCTTTAACCCCTAAGGCTCCAGGACATCTCATTATCAGATTTTCATACTCTCAACTACTGCAAAAATCCAGTATAGGTCTCTTATACCTCTTTCTTTCTTTCTTTCTTTCCTTTTTTTCTTCTCCCTCCTCTCCCATGAACATACTCAGCTGCACATGTGTCTAACTCATAATCTAAAGTTCACTCCCCTAAATCAGCCTAATCTATTCTACCTTTTGTGTAATGTGACGTTCCACTAATATTAGGGATGCACAATAATTACCGGTGCGGCTAAATTATCAAAATGGGTTCATAATGATGATCATTTATTTAGATTTAGTTTGTGAAGAGTTTTTGATAAACTACTAGAAAAAATAAATGAACATTAGAGTTTAGTGTTTGTTTTTGTTGTGTTATCAATAGCGACGTTAGATCTGAGCTATGGAATATTAAATTATCTATCTTGGCTCACTACATCTTAGCCTTTCTTGCCATCAAGCGTGTGAAAACCAAAGGTTATCAACTTCTTTTAGAAATACAGAAATTATCGGTTATCTTATCGGTACTGGCCATGGGAAGCAGGAAGTTATTGGTTACCTTATCGGCTGAAAAAAAATCCATATCATGCATCCCTAACTAATATAAAGGATCAAATGAATGCATGGAAAAATGCTATGTAATCTCTGATTGTGTAGAGTGCTGAAATGAATGAATTCTGGAGAAGGTGATTACTAATCACTTTCACCAGAGAGAAATATTGATCTATTTTAAATGTGGTTGCTCACAGATTTTTGCTGACATCACGTTTCTTCATAAGTTGATTGTTTTAGATCATTTGATTGATTTTCATCTCAGATCACAGCAGGGAAACTGAAATAATTCTAATGACTCCCGTTCTTTTTTCCCTCTCCGGCAGGATGACGCCTCTTGGTCAAACCTGCTCGGTCTCCTCCCTGTTTCCTCACCCCGTCTCCAGAGTTCAAACGCCAAATCAGCAGACTGAGCGCTCCTGAGCACTGTTTGGCTGACGTCCCGGAGAGGTGATGCGACGGTTTATCTACTGTAAGGTGGTGTTGACCACCTCTTTAGTGTGGGTGCTGGTGGATGTGTTCTTGCTGCTCTATTTCAGCGAGTGTAACAAATGTGATGATCGGAAAGACCGCTCGCTGCTCCCTGCCCTCCGAGGTGAGTCCGCACCACTGCTGCCTTACTGTTAATTCACAGAGTAGGTGTGACAGGGTTTAAGGTTTTCAGGGATTGATTATGGGCTTCATTCCCCTCTCCCTTTCATATTTACTTTTTTTTTGTTTTGATGTAAGTTTTCAGGATTTTCTATTAAAATATTCTGTTGCACATTAAAAGGAGTATCACAGTGAGTGAAGTTAAAATGTTAATTTTGGGATTTCAAGGGCTTTAGCAGATCTTTAAGAGGAGGACAAAATCAAGTACAGTTCCATTATTGATGTGTAGAAGGGAGCTCACAAAAGCTTTTTGAATATGTAATAACTTTTTGTAGTTACATTTTCAAAACGAAATCAAATTATAATCATACCTTTGTTTGGCATTTGAACTCATGTTCACATGTGTGGTGTGGTATGTTTTTTTGACAATGAACAAACCACTTTATGTTTCTGTTTGTACTGTACAGACTGTACATCTTACATCTTCAAACTATGCTGTAAAACCTATTATCACAGTGAATGACATGTCTATTTATATCAAGGTAAATATACCATCGCTGTAAATGCAGATTGATTTTTATTTCCACACAGAAATGAATACAGACATGACGATCACTGTAATGCATAACCCATCTCATGTAATGTTAAACAGGTTTAGAATATAATATTGTACGGAAATGCACTGAAGCTGCTCTCTTGAAAAAAGTGCAGTGGACATTAAGTGGCGCTCTTAGCGATCATAATTCCTTTTTATAAAATTATTACAAGCTGATTAATACAGATACAGGGTAATTATTAATAATTGTGAAGTGCCAAGTGATTAGTGTGGAGTGTGTTTTGCAGTAGGCAAAATGAGATCTCTCTCCTTATACAACTTTGTGTTTAGAAAATCTCAACTACCGTAATGTTTATTTAGAATGACATAAAATGGCACTTTGATTTAGTTTTTCTTTCAGATTTTTGGATGTGTAGTAGAATAGGTTTCAACACTAGTATCACACAGAGCACACATTAAAAACAACCACGTTCATCAGGGAACGTACGGTGTATTTCCTCCTGAGGAATTCAAGACAACATCTTTAGAAAGAAGTTGTAGGATTATTGAATGTTATTAATAATTAAAATATAATTCCCCCTTTTTCTTGTGTTGGGTCTCTGCATTTGATATCCAGTGGAATCGACTTCTGGTTTGGCACGAGGCAAACAAGCTTAAAAACATAAGCTGTAGACTTAAGTGTTCGATCATTTCACCAGGATGTTTAACATAATCTTCATCATCTGTCACAAATCCTATTAACACGATGAAGTATACTGAGGGTCAAAACCTTTGCCTGAAAGGTCAGAAAAGCATGTTAATAAATCAGCAAAGATATATTATTTTAAATAGTTGACAATAACTAACTAACTAAACAAATGTTTTATTATTGATCTACAACAACGCAAAAACTCGGATTTGATTTTGTGAAGTGATGAATCTCTACCAGAGATGTGTGACGGGAATGTTAAAGATTTAGTTGATTTAGTGTGTGCTGTAATCTTGACACAATCTCCATGTGTGCGTTTGTGTGTGAATGTTTCTGAGATCAACGTCAACTACAGTACCTCCTTAGCTGAGTTCATTTCCTCACATGCTCTGCAGTAAGCAGGTTTCTAAGAGGCTTGCTAAGCTGCTTTTAAGGTTAGAATGAGGCAGAGCTACCTGCTAGTGAGACTGATTACCACACAAAAGTATGCTGTTACATTGGAGTTAGCTTATGAAATAGCTTAAATAGGCTAAATATATGAACTGTGTTGACGTTGTTTTCAGATGCTGGTTTTTCTTGACTGTATTGGCCCTTTGCTGCGTGTCGTCCCCTGTCTCTCTCTCCCCCTTTTCCCTCTTGAGCTGTCCTGTCAATAAAGAGCCACTCCTCCCCCCCACAAATAAGAAATGGTGGCAATTGTTTTCATAAAATAAAATGTATTGAATTAACCACACAATAGCCTCAGAAAGGCTGAAATGGGAGGAATCGCTTATGCGGTGAGAGAGAAAAATGCTAAATGGACACAAGCCCTAAGGCTAAATAATATATTTATTAATCAAAGCACTCACATAAGAATGTAGCACTAACAGATTGCTAAATATTTTTAGAGTTATTTAGTTACGAACGATTCTCTGTCAAAATCAGCAGAAACAGCTCCTCTCTCTCTCTCTCTCTCTCTCTCTCAGCGCTGTCCGTGGTTCTGAAACAACAGCTAAGCAATAGTCACAAGTATCTCGGCCAGTAATTCTGTTGTTTTTGCAGTTTTTCTATACTTAAATAAAGCATAAACTGGGGGAGGGGGAGCAATATCTACAGAGTACAAAATGTGTTTGTATGGACAAAATGATGTTATGTGTGCTGTACAGTGCAGGCGAAAGAGGAAAGGGAGCAAGTCATCCAAAATACAAAATGTTCGCCCGGGCTTGAGGTATGAACTGACAGCCACCATAGCTTACTTTTGTCAGCACCCTGATAAGCTCTCGCCTCCTCTGTGTTTGGCATATTTCTAATATTATGGCAATATTATATTATAATATTATATCGCATGTGACGTGCTTACAGTAGTATGACTTGCAGTGTGACGTGATGGTTTACTCAATAATCTCACACTGGTCATTACCAGGTTGATAATGACCTTTTAAAGAATGTCTGCTTTACATTCCTGAATAGAGCAGGCTTTTTAGTTTCACCATAATGAACTTTATGGCTTTATGGCTCCTGTCCATTATGTTTATTATGATTTTACGTTTGCTTGACATACTACAGTAAAGTTGTTTGGAATAATCACGGTCGTCTTAAGCCTAGTATGTGGCTGAACTTATCTCAGAGGTCGCTGGTAGCTGCAGCCTTTCTGCGAATTATATTTTCTCCAGTGTATAGCCAGCTAACATTAACTAGTAAAGATGAAGAGGCTGCAAAACATCCTTACATTCCTCATTCACTCTTCTGACGGTTTCTTTATTTGTGATTCATTAGAGAGCCAGCCTGTTAAACTTGGGCAGCTCATCCACAATGCCTGCAGGAAATGAAAGCTTAGTCTTATTTTCATAGCCTAGCGTATTAGATCACGAGGTTAATTATAGCAGACTAATGTATGTAAACTTGCCACTGTAGGAACAGTGGTTACATAACCTTGGAAACGAGCCACAACTTAACCATGCGTGCCATAGGTGCGCTCCAGTGCTTAAACAAATAACACTAAACCTTTTTGGTCCAGTCAAACAAAGGAAAAGCAAAGACTGAGTTATCCTCACTGTTAGTCCTGATATGGGTCAAACCCCCCAAAATTTTATCACTTACTATTATCAACTATCAATTACTTAATAGAAGGTTTCAAACTCTACGCAGACAGTTTGTATAAAAAGCATGTTGTTTCTTATCTTAGTCACAATCTGAGATAACCCTTGACGACATCATTATACGCACAAAATGTATCCGACAAGCTCTCTACAGAGGGACAAAAGTGGAGCTTCCTTTTTAATATAGACACGGTTTAAGATACATTTACACACTAAATTTACTGGTTGGTTCTCTTTGGAGTTGGGTTTTGATTTCCATCAGTGACTGAATTTTGTATAAAAATTCACTCTTTTTGTAGAAACATCAGCTGGAGAAGAGCAGTTGAATATATTATTAAATTCAGTTCTTTAAGGCTACACATTCATTAGATTTTTTCAACAATCAGTTTCTCTGTATTTAAAAAAAATAAAGACTATCAGCAGATCAATTTATTGAAAATGATCAGTTGACTGGTTTATGGAGATTAAATTAAAATGTGAAAGCTATGAGCCAAGCAGTCATGCTTAAACATCTGGTGTAAATTACTGCTTCTATATTTAGAATTGCAGTACATATATACATATAGTGTTTTTCATCCTGAACAGGATTTAACTTAAGCTGCAATATTACTCCTCGCAAGCATATCCAATAAAAATGGAAATGAATAACAGTGAGGAGAACAAATAAGCACCTTTATTTATAAGTACAACATTTATTTCATTTATTTTTCATGCTTATGTCTTTTTGTAGGATAGAGAGATATTAACATTTTGCATTGATGGCACAAGGAACTGAAGTGAAAATCTTGCAGAATCCTACTTTTAGCTGTTTTTCAGAAAAAAAAAATATTATTCTGTGTGAATTACTGTTTATAGATCATCCTCTACTCACAAAGGAATCTTATCATTGTCAGGGCACTCAAATCTTTGCAGGTATTGCACATAAATGTCAGATCCTAAGTGCCTTAAATCTTTATTCCTTGTGTGAGCATCACTCCAGTTGGTTTTCATATAAAAAATGTAAGAAAGTATGTTAAATTCAGGGTGACGGTAGTCTCGTGATACCAGAGGATCAGAGATCACAGAGCCTACCAAGCGACACGCCTTACCCCCCATTCTCCTCCGCAGTGCAACAAACACGGAGAGAGAGCTTTTTAAAACATTGTAAATGGGTGTCCCAGGCAGCGTTATATGTTACAACAGTGTTTATAAGCATACGACTTACGCATGTCACCAACCTGAAAGCTTTGGAGTGGTTCTGCAATGCAGGTTTTTTAAAACTCTAATTGTTTCCATCCAGTTTCAGCAAAGAAAGCCAGGAGAAAGTCCTCGGTCTCTATTGAGCGAAGCATTTAGAGACTGGCCTCTCTAGGGTGCCGGTGCACATCAGAGCCGAGTAGTACTGTGCAGGGTGTTTGGTCCTGCTCTGTTGTGGTTTTGTGTTGAACAGGAGCTTCTCTGCTATATAATGTACTGCAGCTGGGTCAGACTCGCAGGCAGTAAGCAGAGTGGAGCAGCAGAGGGAAGAGCTGGAGGTAAAGCGTGGAGGAAAGAGGATGAATCAAGCTTGTGATAGAGACTCCAGAACTGTGCACCACTACACAGCCCTTTTTCCTGCAAAGCAGATGAATGGATGAAAGGCTTGGGTTTTCAATCTGCATGCAGATTATGGAGTCCAACTTGACAAGTCAAAGGAGAGTCCATTTGAGCTCTCACAATATCAGTTTCACAATTTCAATAATGAAATCTACTAGAAAGGCTAACATATAGCAGGTGTGTATTTAGAGAGTCTAGAGTTGCTAATCACATAACGGACAGGTAGACAGTGAGACATGTGGCCCTTTATTTTTGTTCAACATTGAAATTTGAGTGATCGTGTCTCAGAAGACTCATTACCTGAGAGTGTGAGGCAAACCTTTCCACTGTAATTGCTTGGGATAAAGCTGCAGGCAGGGATATTGAATTAGATTGATTGACCCGAGGACAGACAGAGCCACTGTTTTCTTCCCAGATGATCGTGGTCATCTTTTCTAATGAATGCTCTGTGTCAGGAGGCGAGTGTGTAAGGCTTGGAAATACAGAGTATATAGAGAGTTTGTTTCCTAAGGCTCTTCTGATCTCTATGTTGCTGAGCAGAACCAGTTTTATGTAAGTGATTTCAGACTTTATATCCTGATTGTTTGTATTATTTTATAGATAGAGAATTTCTAAGGCCCCCAGGGTGGAAAAAAAGATAACTTGCAGTCATGAGGCATGTACTAAAGACATATAAAAGTCACTTCAAACATGGTGTAATAAGCTTTTATAACAAAAATAACATTTTCACTTTTAGATACTTTGTATATCCCTGGGTAGATTAGTAGTATGGTGCTGCATATCATATATTTTTATGTCAAAAGGAACTGGTAGAGCATGCACCCCATGTACTAAGGCAGTGGCCTGGGTTTGATTCCAGCCAGAGGCACTTTGCTGTACATCAGCCCCCTCTCTCCCCTAGCTTTCCTATCTCCCTCTAGCTATCCAACTGTCACACATAAAAAAGAAATGCCCAAAAACCATCATTTAAAAACGTTACTAGTAAGTGTAAGTATTAAATGTATGAGCAGTAAAAAATAGAAAATTTCCCTCTGAAATATAGTGGAGTAGCAAAAAATGAAAATGTAACATAAAAGTCTATCAAAATTGTATTTAAGTACAATACTTGAATAAATGTATTCAGTTACATTCCACCACAGCTGAAACCCCCAAATAATACATGTTCTAGTTAACTAGACTTAAGAGTCTGCAGCAGCTTTGGCTGTGCTTTCAGCCAAATGCTAATGTCAGCGTGCTAACATGCTCACAGTTACAATGTTATGGTGATGTTTAGTATAGTTTAAGTGTTAACCATCTTAGTTTAGAAAGAAACTTTCTTTAACCTTTAGGTAAAGAAAACTTCATTTCCATCTGCATTAACTTATATTTGGTGGTATGGCTCTATTCTGGGACCTCCCTGTCCTTCATTGAGAGTGGCAGCAGAGACCCTCCCCGTAGGGTACAGGACAGAGCAAGCATCAGTGACAACAGAGATGACACTGATTCAATCAGACACAGCATAAAAAGGGGGAGCTGGGGTGGAGGCGTGTTGCAAAGTGGCAAGGGTAGACTGGCTGAAGCTGTTGAAAATAAAGCATCCTGTATGCGATTTTGCCAATTGGATGCATAGAATGAAATCTGCTTGGCCATCAGCTGATGTGGGCTGACTTTGAGAGCAGCAGTAGCTGGGATTGTGAGTTGAGCTCGACTTTGTGGCCTGTCTGAACTAAAGCTGTGCTCAATTTGCTAATTAGCTTTAGATGTAATCTTTGTTAAGATCTTTCAGTCCGGTCCAGCCGATGGACTGACATTGCAGTCCCTAGAGCAACACAGCTAACGTTAGCATAGATAGAAGAGTTATATACAAGGAAGGATAATTGGTTGATAAAAACCTCCAGTAGCTTCTGCAGTTTTGACTGAGATGTACTTCTACTATCTTAAATGTGAACCATATTATTCCACAGTTACATTGTGTATCACGTATGGGTTTATCCAATATTAAAACATACTAATTTGTCTGATTATTTTAAATGCTTATATCATCCAGATTTCAGATCATAACAAAGAGACCAGAAATATAGTGGTAAATTTGGAATGACAGTTATTTGTTACAATGCCTTGTTATTTCAAAGCCCGAGGACTGTCTCCCTACAAAATTCACAAAGTATTCTGCTCTCTGCAGTTTTTCACATCTGACTTCAGTAAGGTTAAAATATTGTGTATATAGTATAAATAATCTATAGGATTAGTTGTTTATGTTGTAGTGATGGCAAACAAGACTGGTGTTGATGGTTTGTTTTTCCAGAAAATGCACAAACTGTGTTCATCCATATTATAGACTGATGGGTTGCAGAGGCTGAGCATGTGTTTGACGGACACTTTGTTCAATCATCCAGCTCAGCTCTCAAGCTGTGTCCATCAGATTTAAACCAGTGTCCAAATGGAGAATATCAGCAGCACCATAAAGAAAAGAGCAGAACCAGTCGAGGTTAACAATCCAGCGGACACTGGCCTCCTCGAGGGGTCGTTGGGAATCCTCTTAACCTGGGGCCTCGCAGCTAATGTGTGTCCCCTTTTCATGGAAATCACTGCCTCTGTTCAGAGAGATTATTATAGGAGAGAGAGTGAGAGAGCACAGTCATAAATCCTTTCGAGGTTATTTACCTTTTGGTAAAGGGAGCTACCTCCGGGCAGCAGCAGCAACAACAGCAATGCTGGTGTTTTGCAGGCATTTGACTGCCAGAGCATATAGCAGAGAAAACTATGGCAATTCTAGAAAGGATTTTTCCCTTCATACTACTTTTTCATCTATTAATACGTTCTCCCAAATCTCTGAATTCAAAACCAGCCTAATAGATTAAATTAAAATTAAATATAGCTGCCAGTGCAGTGCTTAATACCCACTCAGCCCGAGCAACAGCAACCAGGAGACCGCTTAAGCAGAGCGTCCGCTCCGTCTGTATTAAATGTCTTTTTCACATACACTGATGTTTGAGGCAACATCTTTTTAATAGTGCTAGTGCGAATGGCATCACATTTTCTGTTTGTGCAGTGTTATTAAGTGTTATTAATGGTAATATGATATACTGTTCATATGTGCACTTCCTGTATACATTTTACCAATACATGAATTGCTTTTTGTTTGGTTCATGCACACAGATAGGAAAATTATGTTTACAATTACACTTTACGGAGGGTGCAGAGATGGAAGTAGCACGCTTTGCTGCACTCACTCTGCTTTAAGAGACAGATAATAAACCCAGTGTCTGTGATGTTCACTACAGATTGTATACAGCTAACAACCCAATGCTAGTACAAACCCAGGGAAAAGATTAGATACACACTTCTCAGAACAGGAAGAATTATATTTTGATTAATGATCAAAGAAGTACATTTCCAACATATTTGTACTATATATATAAATTTCCTTCATTGAGGCTTCATTTGTAGCCAAACCAGCACTACATGTATAATGTATTTATTCCACTTATGCTCTCTTTGTTCATTGAGTTCTTAAAAAACCACCACAACTCTTTCTTTCCCCCCGCTGGTTAGAACAGGGCACACAGCCAACAAACTGGGGTCAGGGAGGTCAGTCAGTACTCATTACTCTCAGTCCCATTTATAGAGAGATGTGGAGCATTTGTAATTTAGTGGGCTTTTATATTGTAGGAGTTTCCTTATCAAGAATAGACTGTGTATACAGAGTGATTTATTTTACACCGCAGTTTGACCTTAATTGCTCACCTCCTTAGTGAGAAATAAAAACTATAATGGCTTTGATTCCTCATCAGATATCCTCTTTGTTTTTCCTTTGTTATGTTACAGCGGTGATATCTCGGAGCCATGAGGGTCCTGGGGAGATGGGCAAGGCAGTGAACATCCCCAAGGACGACCAGGAGAAAATGAAGGAGCTCTTTAAGATTAACCAGTTCAATCTGATGGCCAGTGACATGATTGCACTCAACAGGAGTCTGCCGGACGTGAGGTTGGATGGGTGCGTAAGCTTGGATGTCTTCCAGATGCATGCTGTGAATCACACTACTGACCCTGTAACACCTACACACACACACACACACACATCCACTTTCCATCAGCGAAGCATGACACAAGTCCTCACCTCGCGCCTCCGCTGCCTGCAACTGTACCTTTTGATATCCATCACAAATTTCAAGGCGCTATGGTTTCTTTATCAAAAAGCTGACATCTCAGCTGATACTTTCTGCTTTTTGCTTCTTTATTTCTTTATTTCTTTTCCTTAATGTGTGCAGACTTATGCCAGGTTCACCAGAAACTGTTGCAGTATTGAGACAAATGTGTTTGATGGGTCAGCAAGAGTCAAAGGAGTCTCAACAGGGTTGCAGACAGTGACTGTTTCTGCAGATGAAATGCTCTAAATTATCAAAACTTTGTCATTCTGATGATTAAAATCCCTTTTAAGCTGTTTGTTGAGTCCATTAGATTTTATTGGTATTAATAACTTCGGCTAATGTGAAAAGACCTCTCTAATTATGGGCACTGTTTCAATGCAGAATCCATCAGATCCCTCAAGTGTGTACATTAGGCCTGACATGTGAATGGGAGTAGGGTTTTGTTTACTGTCACTCAAGATCCACTTGAGCACTTAATGAAGATCCAAGGAGCAATTTGTGTGAAACATGAGCGCATTCGTCTCAGGCTGCTGATATGCAGCGGCATTCGCCTCTCGTGGAGACTAAGTGATTCATGTTTAAATATTCCAACTGAACACGAGGACTTTCATTAAGTGGATACCAAAGGCCCTGCCAGTCAGATACATCATGACAAATAGTTGACAAGAATGTCTTTTTTCACACCTACTTTCCCAGGTTTTTCCATGCTGTTCTTGCCTATACCAAAAAAAATGTCTAATTCAGACTTTATGCAATGTGGAGATGCAAATTTAAATATTATTTCCCTGCATAGTGCAAAGAAGACTAAAATAGTGAGAAAAAGTGAACATTCAGCTGATTGCACCAGTTTTTCTGTCCATTATGATTCCATCCTTCTCAATATAAATATTACAGCAACTTTATTACAGAAAACACCTTAGCCTTGCAGGATTTCACCAGCTTAGTGTTGAAAATTATCCAGAGCCATGCAGAATTGTCAGCCGTTGCCTCTGAAGGGCACTAACATTTTGTCTTGAAGGCAACCTCCTGGCCTAGTTGCATCACTCTGCGCTGTCACTTTGAATAGACGGGACTGAACTAGCAACGCTGTCTCCGTCGATGGCTTCTTTCATCCTCCGTCACCTCCCACTTCCACCTCCTCCTGCCCTGGCCGTCCACCTCCTCCACTTATGTAATGCAGCTCATTCTTTATGCAACATAATCCACTACAGCGGCGTCCCAAGTTTTTTGCGCTCTCCCTCTTTGGCTTTGACAGACAATCTGTCAGGCAAAGGATGTGCTGACATAGCTGCCAACACTGGTTTTACTTTTTCTGTATTTCTGGAGATATTTGTCAGTAAATCTCATATGACAATGTTTTTGCACTGACGGCGGCATTGGATAGTAGCAGGACACACTCAGATTCTCTTCTCACACACTTTTCATACAATATAATGAGCTGCAGGCGTAGAGAACCACTGTGAGTGCAGTTTGAAAACAACATTGTAGTTTGAGACCAACATATTTAGACTGGGTATGTTTTTAGGTTTAGGCAAAAGGACATAAATGATTGTGTGCAGGTATTAGCTATTGTTAAGTTTAATGTAGCTACTGCTAATGATTTTATTATCAATTAATCACTCACTTTTTGCAGAATTAAATAATCATTACTTTACTGATTAAATTTATTTTGCTCCATCAGCTGTAAGACCAAGGTGTATTCTGATGACGTGCCAAACACCAGCATTGTCATCGTGTTTCACAACGAGGCATGGAGCACCCTGCTGCGGACAGTTCACAGTGTCATCAACCGCTCTCCCAGACACTTGCTCATGGAGATCGTACTTGTTGACGATGCCAGTGAGCGAGGTTGGTAATCTACACTCTAGCTAATAAGCAGCTTACATACTGTAGGTATCTGATAGACGCAGGTTTAACTCTGCAGTCAAACATACACTACGTACATTTTGATTATTAATGTGAACAATGTGGGACACCAAAGTTGGTAGCATAATAAGAAACAATTAATGCATAGTTTTTACTACAATAATATAAATATTTACTCTTAAAACATATGATAATAGATAAACCAAATTGAATCATAGGGCTGTAACTAACAATTGTTTTTGTTATTGATTAATCTGCTGATTATATTCTTGATCAGTAGATGTAGCGTTTGGTCTAAAATATGTCAGAAAATAAGCAGAAATGTTTTGGAAGTTGGAAGGTAAGAAATACTGTTGGCCCTTTTTATTGATTGTGATTTATGGTGATCCTAGTTTGGTTATTGATTGACTATGTAGACTTTTTTTTCTTCTTCAAACCTAAAAATATAATAAAGAAACTCAGAGGGGATTCCTTAGGACAAAATCCCCTAAAAATGGGGGGCTGTGGTCTAATGTTCATCTATTGTGGGGGTCCTTGACGTGAAAAAGTTTGGGAATGGATAGAATTGAGTCATTCTTTCAGCTCTGTTGAGTTAAATTACTGTGCCAGTGCACCTTTGCCAAAATGTTTTCATTGTTTCGTTTCAGACTTTCTGAAGAAGAAGCTGGAGAACTATGTGCGGACTCTGGAGGTGCCAGTGAGGATCCTGAGGATGGAGCAGCGCTCCGGTCTAATCAGAGCTAGGTTGAGAGGGGCAGCTGCCACAAAAGGTCAGGTCATCACCTTCCTGGACGCTCACTGCGAGTGTACTGTCGGCTGGCTGGAGCCCCTGCTGGCACGCATCAAAGAGGACAGGTAGGACCACAAAATGGACCACACTGAATATATGTAATGTAATGTTGATATTTAAGGCGCTGATATAAAAAAAACACTTTTTAGGAGCAGTGTCAATGAGCTTTTTATTGTCAGTCATTTTAATCTTTTGTCTTTTCAGTACTGAAACATGCTTTAAATATACTGGTATTATCACATTTCACTTAAGTTGCATCATCAGGTGCTTGAGCCAAAGCTCTAAGTGAATATTGATGGGACAGCAAAACATCAGTTATGAATACACTGCTTGAGCCTGACACTGCTGATAGGAGAAGATAATCATTCTGCATCGTCTGCTTCTGCCTCAGAGGAAAGCTAGCTCCAATTACTGTAGCTTTATTTTTGTGGTAACTCCACTACAACTGATGCTAGTAGATGCTGGTGAAGTCAAGATAAAAGTGGACTAGAACATGTTTTACTAGCTACAACAGATACATGTTTAGGGATGAATATCGTGTGGCCAGGCAGTTTTTTTTGGGTTTGTTTTGGCAAAGGCTGATTTTTTTTGTTTGTTTAGAGTGTTTGTACAGTTAAGCCAAATGTGTTAATTTAAAGTGACAAGGTGTTCATTTGGTTGCTGTTATTTATCGGAGCAATATGTTACTGTTTGAGGCTTTTACTTACTTATTAAAAAAACAACAGAGGGTGTATCTGCTGTGTCTGTGAGAGTGACATTAACAGATGGATGGATTGATAATGATTCTCCTGCGATCCATCTCTTATCTGAGGTCAGACACATTCATTTTCCCTCAGGAAGAAATCAGTATCATATGACTCAGAATATTATATTATGGAGCCATTACACTTTTACTGAATGCTGCTGCAGATGTATTGGTGTCTGTAAGTATGGGCGCAGACTGATGAGATGGTGCAGGAAACAGTATTCACATGATTGATGATACAGGTTGTTTTGGCAAATTCCAAGAAGGGCTGAGAGGTCTGGTTGACATCAGGTTTGTGATACTAACATTTTAACCAGTATTGATATGTACTTTATCAGGATCATTTCTGATGAAATGCTAATGCTAATACTATTATATTATGCTAATGCAATTACACTTTAAATATTCACAGTAAAACAGTAGGAAATATTACCTCAATTCAAAGGTGACTGAAAGTGCCTATTAAACATTTGCAATCATCATATGCACTATGGAAAAGGACAGACAATTTGTTAAGATACCAACCTTCTCCAAAATATATTGCTCACAAACAAAACTAGTAGTTTTGTATATTAGTAATAGTATTTTACCAAAATGCTAAGCAGATGGCATTTTTTGGACTGAGAATAAAGTAACTAAACTATATAATGTAATATGGTGTTTTGTCTACAATTAGTTAGTCAATTAACCTGACAAGATCAGCAGTAATTTAAATAATTGATTATTACATTAATAATAATCATTAGTTGCAGTGCAGGTGTGGTTAGCGCTTAAAAAGAAACATTTAGAAAGGTTAATCATTACATAATTTGATCTCACTCAGAGTGTATGTTCTCTCAATTTGAAATTAATCACCTCACCTTTCACCGTTTCATCTTTATCAAGGATACATTTACTGTATAATTTATCTCCACACTGAATCTTACACTTTATTTTTTTGTGTCTTTCAGGACAGCAGTGGTCTGCCCCATCATCGATGTCATCAGCGACGAGACGTTTGAATACATGGCAGGCTCAGACATGACCTATGGTGGATTCAACTGGAAGCTGAATTTCCGCTGGTACCCTGTTCCCCAGCGCGAGATGGATCGACGCAAGGGGGACAGAACACTTCCTGTTAGGTACACAACAAAAATATGTCTTCCTCGTCTGAAGCTAAATCTAGATGATTTTTCAGGGGAATGTGTGACGTGTAATGTCTTTTAATTAAGAATTAACAGAGGAGGTGAAATTACACTAAAGGTGAAGAGACACTTTTTGTATGTTCAAACAGATGTTTTTCATCGGGGCTGAGAATTAGTGTATGTGTGATGAGGGCAGGCTACATCACAGAGAAAATATGGATAATAAGATTTCTTCACAAGAACTCCTCCTATAAATAGTGCCATTTTTATCTGCAGATAGAAATAGATCATTTTCCTCTGTGCATCCCTCTGATGCATGCAACTTCCTAAATAGCATCCTGAACCTGTTAAGTATGTATGAGCTTATTTAATTTAAAAAGAGAAAAATAGAAACTGTGTTCACGGTTGCCTTTATTTTTTTGGGGGCTACACAAAACTAGGCACAATTTGTCATTTGTATGCAAATCACTCCCAGCAACAAACAATATCCTTAATTAGGGGCCGACTTTAACATAAAATGAATTAAAAGATAGAAGTAATTACCCCTCTAAGGCTTTGTTTCAAATTGTCAAACAAATTGGTCTTTTATTATATTCTGAATGTTCCTCAGAGTTACACAAAGATACTAATAAATACTGCACAAAGAGAAAACGATTTTTGTCTTAATTTTTTCATGCGTCTCTTGCAGGACCCCCACCATGGCAGGAGGATTATTCTCCATAGACAAGACGTACTTTGAAGAAATAGGAAGCTATGATCCAGGGATGGATATCTGGGGTGGAGAGAACCTGGAAATGTCTTTTAGAGTGAGTGACAGGCTCAGGAGGACACTATCATGGCATTATCTTGTCACCGTTGATGTTAAAGGATACGACTCCCTTTATTGTAGCCACGTTTCTTCACTTGCATCTTCTCTTTGAATACACTTGAGATTCAAGGCAGAGATTAAAGGAAAAGATGCAAAGAAGGTACAACACAAATACATGCTTATTGAAATGAGATGTCCTTATCGCTCATCCCCATTATGATTAGAATGTCTCTTAACACTTTTAAATATTTATATCTATATTATATATACTATATAATATCCACTATTATCGTAACTAAATATTGAATAAGAAAACACATAAAATCTAGATATTGGTAATGATATGTTTGTCTGCGCATGGCAGTTCAACAGTGCTGTGTCGCGGCAATGTGGCTTCAAAGACAAACCGATTTTCTGTAGGCGAGTGTCGTCAGGATGGTCTCTTGTTTCATTTCCCTCCTGGATGCCTCCTTGCTTGCACAATTAAGAGCATTGTAATGTCCTTATTGATGACAGATCTGATTTATTTTGGGGTTATCTGAGCATCAAGAAGTGAGGAACGATCAAATAAGGGGACTGGTACACACCCCGCGTTGTATCCCTTTTTGTATTGACTGCATTTGTCTGCTTTCATGCCACATACTATATAAATCTACATTGTGTGTTTGTGCCTGCAGATCTGGCAGTGCGGTGGCTCATTGGAAATTGTAACATGTTCGCACGTGGGCCACGTTTTCCGGAAGGCCACCCCATACAGCTTCCCTGGAGGAACAGGCCAAGTCATCAACAAAAACAACAGGCGCCTGGCTGAAGTCTGGATGGATGATTTTAAAGATTTCTTCTATATTATATCACCAGGTACAGAGTTGTAGTGCCACTGTTTGACCACATCTTTCTGCCGTCGGAATAGTAGAATTACACATTGATGAGTATGCTAAAATGCCATGAATCCTACATGTTTTACAAGTTTTAGGGAATATAGAGTTGTGGACTTTAATAGACGTTTTATTCGTCATGCACTGCTGTTCAAAAGCAGATATGAACAATCCTCATGACTAGACCCCTCCTTAGTACTTATGTGCAAATTGGTATGAAAAGAAAATCCTTTCTACTCTCTTTTATTCTATCATTCTCTTTCATGGTACTTTATCTTGCTCGTTTAAGAATTTATATGTCTTACGTTGGAATTTAATGCTGCTTTTGTCATCTCCAAACTGGAATTAATTAATTCCTACTTTCAGACATATTTTTAGTGCCCCATAAACTTGAGTTCAGAAATTTGTCAAAGATGGTCCTCAGCAGAGCTAAAACACATGCGGACAAGCTAGAACAATACAACTGCACAGATTGAGAGATGAGTACCCCTCCATCTGTCGACTTAGTAATGTGATTACCCTTTAGCAGACAGCAGTGTCCCGGAAATCTCTGGTTAAGTGCTTTAGATGCCGGCCCAACCTATAAGGGATCATCCGTAATCTGCCGATCTTATGGCACAAATTGTGACCTTCTCCTCCCTTCAATCAGACAGGATTCTGCACGGGCAGGTGTGCCGACAGAGCCAGGGGGGTTGTGATGGATGAGTCTTTCTGCGTATTGTGGCCCCACAATGACTGTCTGTTCCTCCAGGACATTAGGGAGAATGATCTGGGCCACGCTGCTGCCAGACCTCACTTATTGGCACGGAGGAACACAGTATGTTTCGCAGGCCGAGTTTGGGAGTGGCATCTAGTGATCTTATTAAAAGTGCGTCTCCTTCCTCGTCCCCTCCTCTGCACTGGTGATTTCAAGATCAAAGAGGCTATTCATCATCTGCAGCATGTGATGCGCAGACCCTACAGAGAGAGGGAGAAAAGGGAAATGGAGAGCCAGGGGGAGGAAGAGTGGCTGTCAGCTCATAGCTTTTATCTGCCAACTTAAAATTTCTATTTCACACAAGTGTAAGACATTGGTATTACAGAAGGTGCCGTTTGCATTGTCTGGCTTGCGTTTGATGGATAATTAGTGCTGTAAGTCTTGCATGTTGGCTGGTTTTTGAAAATTGTATTCTATTTTCTCTTATTGCAATCATGGTCTTTCATGATAAATTACCCTAATGGATCTATCTACATGCAAGCTACGAGACACTCTGGGGAGAAACCATCTGCCTAATGTGTTTGTAAGTGTCTGTGCCCAGTCGCTGTCTAATCCTTCCTCAGTCTTCAGTTGCATCAAGGCTGATACATCGTGCGGTTTCCATTTGGCTAAAATAACAGACGGCACACAATATTCCAACAATTGCTGCATTTTTGCATATCTGAAGGAGGTGCCTTACCTTTAGTAATACACTGTGTATTAATGGGATTTGACTTCTCACATGCCCTCTTTGCAGAAATCCTTCCATGACCACCCACATAGCCCAGGTAGAGTTGTAGGTTTTTTGTGAAGGGTCCCTCTGGTGTTTAGTATTGGTTGGTGCAATAAAACATGTCTCTTTCTTTTTTCTGCAGAGCAAAGAAATGTAAGTACTGACTGATGTCGTTCAGGGATACATATAGCTGAATCCTTGCCTTTGCATTTTGTCTGCAGGCGTGATGCGGGTGGACTACGGAGACGTTTCTTCCCGTAAAGCCCTCCGCGAGGCCTTGCAGTGCAAGCCGTTTTCCTGGTATCTAGAAAACGTCTACCCAGACTCCCAGATCCCAAGAAGATACTACTCACTTGGTGAAGTATGAGCTTTCTCGTACTCTGATCTCAGCAGATACACCACCTCCCTCTGCATTCAGTCAGATATGTCCTTGTGCTGTAGCTTCTGGGTTGTGCTTTCAGAAAGACAATATCGCTGCAAGGTAAATTTGAAAATCTCGGTATCCGGCAAAGGCTGAACAAAACAGGATAAAAACAAACAGCCCCAGTTGGTATTGAACACGTATGATAAACAAACAAGGGGAATTGTGCAGTCAGTATTGATCCCAGTCACATGTTTACACAGTTATGCTATGAATCCTGGTTAGGTGAGATAAGGCTCATGTATTCATTCTACACACTTCCGTGGCACAGTTTTGTATTGTGGTGCAAAGATTCATTTTAAAACAGAATCGCTCTCAGATAGATTTGTAAATTGTCAACCAGCAAGTTTATCATGAAAATATTCATTCCCTCTTCTGAAAACCTGAATAAGTAGTAGTTCCTTTAAAAAATTAAAAGGGGGATTATGTGAGCTGTGATGATTTGCAGCTAAGGTGTGAGTATACATAGTTGTTTTTTTCAAGATAATACAGCTTTTATGAGTTAGTTCCCCCTCACAGAGGAAAAATATTTTTTGAAGTGACCTGAATTTGTCTGCTGATGCCCATGGCTCTGTGACGACAGCAGTACAGCATGGGGTAAAGTCGGCGCTGACATGCAGTGTGCTGCCTGTACGATAGACGGGGGCCATTTAAAAGTAATGTCAGTTGAAGAACTCGTGGCAAAGCGAGCTTGTAATCCTCCTGCATTCATACAGCTGCGGATGAGAGGATCTTTTTCATCGCGCTGCTCTGCTGTACTGCAGCCCAAGCTGGTTCTCTCTCTCTCTCTTCTCTCTCTCTCTCCTCTCTCTCTTCTCTCTCTCTCTCTCTCTCTCTCTCTTCTCTCTCTCTCTCTCTCTCTCTCTCATCTCTCTCTCTCTCTCTCTAGCCACTGCAGCTTCTGAACTCCCATCTTCCTCTAAACCAGACTCCTCCTGACTGATTCTCATCCTCTATAACACACAGTCAGCCTTTCTTTAACAGCTGGAACCATTAGGTTTTATATCACTTAATTATGAACTTTCTGTTCTGTTCCTGCACGATAGGCATAAGAAGTTGCTTAGGCGACATATTGAGCCAGCTCAGCTTTAGCTCTGTGAATGTAGAAAGCTGAGGTGACTGTAAAGTCAGTCGAAGCTGTGTTAGCAGGGGTTACTCAGGCTGTGCAGCCAGATCACTTCTCCATTTCAGTTTTAAAAGATTAAAAGATAAGGAGTAGAATTTTGATTAACATAACCTGGTGACACAATATCTACATTAGTTTTAGGGCTGCATACAAACATTGTTTTTATTATTGATTAATCTGCCGATAAGTAATCTTGCTTAAAAAAATAGTGAAATATGCCCAGTATAATTTCAACATAAGGTCCAAGGCGGCATCTTCAAATGACTTGTTTCATTCAACCAACACAGAGATAGATAGATAGTAGCTAGATGACTAGAAGATAGCTCAGATAGATAGTAATAGATAGAGCTAGATAGATAGATAGATAGATGTTTCAGTTCTATTGTACATTTAAAAAAATCTTAAATAATGTAAAGTTGGCCTGTAATGGTAAAGGAACTGAAACAGTTACAATAAATAAGAAAACAATTCATTAACACTAACAGAAAAACACGATTAATGTTTAATGGGAAATATTGAGCAGGACCTGGTTTCTGTTTGGCATTGAAAATAAAATATTTGTTTTACTGTTCGGACATGCAGCCTGGAGTACTGTCAAGTAATACAATACAATATTAAATAATACAAACTCAATGTTTACTTATGTCAGCTTTGTATTATAAAAGCGTTGAAATACAAGATTTCCAACAGTTTGAATGTTTCGAATTGTGAAGATTAAGTTGTTATGAAATTTGCCAATGTATAGACAGAAAGGACATTTCAAGTTAGAATAAGTAACTTCTAATTCTTTTCATTCTAATTCCTGCCTGAAGATCAGAAATGTTGAGACCAACCAGTGTGTGGACAACATGGGAAGAAAGGAAAACGAGAAAGTTGGCTTTTTCAACTGTCACGGCATGGGTGGAAACCAGGTGAGGGGAAAAAGTTCAAACATTTCAATATAATTTTTATTGTTTATAGTTTTAATCTACAGACAATGTCCTATAAACACTAACTGGAAACTTTAAATGTAGAATAAATCTCTTTTAAATTGATGTTGAACCAGCCGAGCCTTCTTTTTCTTTATCTTGGAGCTTTGGGATTTCGTCTTTGCTAGAAAGCTTCAGCTCAATCAGGTTGGACGCTAAGTGTGTCTGAATTGCCAACTTTTAAGTCAATCCACAGATTTTCAATACAATTCAACTTGGGGGTTTTTGCCAAGTTTTTTTTTTTCTTTCTCATTCCTAAGTCCATTGTTGATTTCGCTCCATGCTGGCATCTTTTTAAGAAGGTTTGTGCCAAAAATGTGATTGTATTTTATTTTAATCATTGTCCCCTCTGTCCTTACAGCTCTCGTTATGGGGGAGTCTCAGTGTAATCCTTTAGTATCCTGTAAAAAAAAATAGAGGCAGCTAAATACTGTATTTGTTGAAAGCACCAAAAACACATTGAACACAACACACCTCATGAATAAATACTGTTAATCAAAATACAAATCAAGAAAAATATCTGTTCAGATCTTTTTAACTTCAAACACAATCAAAGTTTGCATTTCTTGAATGGAAAGTTGTGAATAATGTCGGCCTTTCTGAGTGAGACATCTTGTTTCCAGGTGTTCTCATACACAGCGGATAAAGAAATTAGGACAGATGACCTCTGTCTGGATGTCTCCCGCCTCAACGGACCTGTCGTCATGCTCAAGTGTCACCACATGAAGGGCAATCAGATGTTTGAGTACGATGCAGAGGTAAGATGGCCAAATAATCTATTACCAGGCTGTTATTACAGGAGGCCATTCTTGCCTTCTGATTTCCTTTATGTTGAAAATGACTTTGATGAAATGCTGATTGATTGTCTTTGCTTCTGTCGCATGGGGAGATTGCTGTGCAGTAGGTGCACAGTGAGGATTTGGGTAGTGCAAAGTGGGGAATTGGGTACATGTTTGCTGCCACCAGATGGTGCTCTATGGCAGTTTTTTAGCGGCATGGAAGCTGAGCTGATTTTTCCACCCAGCAGCTGTGTCTCTCCTCTCATGTTCTCTCCTTTCACATAGTATGTTGGCAAGTGGGAATATGATTTTGAGGTAAGCTTTTCAAGTCACCGCTCCTGAATATTGCCCCTTAGTTTGAGTCCTGTGCTTCCGGTTTCGTGATGTCCTACAACACTGTGTGAACTGTGACATGTGAGTAGTTATTAGAATAGATCATTTAAATTTTGACGTGAACCTTTTTGGTAGAGGAGTGAAGTCAAAGCTTTAATGGATTATGATCCAAATGCACTTAAAAAAATATATTTTATGTATTTACTCATCACATAAAATCAGCAAGCAGATACACCCAGTCCTGCAATAAATCCTCCCTTCATGAAGGTTATAATGTTTTAGTGAGGTGTTGATTCAACTTTATGGTCATTTTGGAGCCTGCAGTATGAGGTGTTGTTGAACTGTATTGCATTATACGGAGAGCTGTTTCTGTTATTTAATCTATCCTCACTGAAATAAACGGGGTGGAAAAATTTAGCTTACAGTCAACATTGACCTACGGCAAATCATTTACACAAATTACAAACATTTAACTTGATGGGCAGTCTATACGAATAAACCAAAGGTCAGCGCTAAATATAAAGCTGCCCTAATATCTTAGAAATCAAAACAAAACAACAAAGTAGAACGAGGAAGACAAAAAAATTATCTAACGCTAATGCATTTAATGGTGTGTGGTACATTACAGACCTTATGGCCTGTAAGACACACTCAGGCAAGAGATTATTGGATTTACATAACATACAAATGTGTGAGTGAGTCACAGTTTATTCATTTGTACTAGCACCAAAAGGAAAAAAAAAAAAAGATTAGATACATGACAAAGCCAAAAAAATGCGTATTAAACAGCAGACTCTCATTTTACGTAATATTTCTGGCTGTAATATTCTTACAATTTCAGTATTCAGTCAAATGCAGAAACAGATGTTGCAGGCTCTTAAATGGAAAACAGAGAGACATTGTGAATCTCATAGGAGAACAAAAATATTCTCTTCAAGCCCGGTTGACTCAGAACTCAAAGTACATTATGGATTATACATCTCAAAAAGCATTATTTATATTAACAATTTATGCATTTAAAAGAAAAAAAAACCCACTCAGAGACGGTTATAAAGACTGCAGCGAATACGGTGTTTTCTGTCAGTGATTGAGATGTCCTATCGCTGACATGTAGGTATGACAAGGTAAGGAAGCCTGGAGGTCTTTCCATCAAGCCCCGAACAAACCCTCTGAGAAATCCTTTCATTACACTTTGTTCTCTGGGTGCATTCTTAATATGAAAAAAATTGAATAATTCATAAACGAAGAGGACAGGTCTCTGTTGTAAACAGCATTGGGGTTTCACCGCTGTCGGTGGCCGAGGTTATTTTTAGCCCAAAGTGTGACAGACAGGGGCTGAATCCTGGGTGACTACAGTACCATTAACATTTCATCTGGTCATCAGTTTCACATTCACAGGAAAACCTGACTTTTCCATTCCTGCTGTATTCATTCACAACCATGACAGACACCCTTCCTTCTTTTTCACCTGCTCTGCTGTTTCAGCCAAAAATAAGCTGTGCTCGCTCTGCTCTGTGAATATACCACTTACATAAACTATATTCCTCTAGTCTTACTCACACAAAGAGTTTAAGTTTAAATGGGAAATCTGCAGAATTTTCAAGATATCCAGCTGTACTTTTTACTTTGGTGTACATGTATTGTGTTGTAGAGACTAATAGTTTCATTAGTCTAGTTTTTCAGTTGAGAGTTGTCAGGTTGTCTCAGCCAAAAAGATTTATGACTATGTTCTTCAGTGTTATCTAATTCCCACCTGGTGGCCAAGTGTGGAAAATGCAGTTGTGGGAAAGAATATGTGGAATTTCAGCAAACAAAGTTTATTGGAGAGATAATGTTTTGATCATGCTTAAGTAGTATTAAGATACTGTGCATTGACTATATAACTATATTATAATAATATAATATATAATTGGACAATGGTCTTTAGCTATTTATTATGTTTTTAGGCACTTTAGGTGAGATATATCAGATATATATTAAGAGAAAAGCATTTCCATGTTGTAATTACAACTCAGTAGTTGACGTAAGTGCTATTTAAAATGACATGAACGTGGCATAAAGTCACAGGATCAAATCTCAACACATGGGAGGCAAATTTCAAACCTTTTCAAATAACTGCTAAACCCTGTTAAATCCTTAAAATGAGACAAACAGTATATGTCAAAATGATAGATGTTAAGTCCAGTTCACTGTTAACACCTTAAATTAACAACACAGCATTTCTATTTGAATGAACTGTCATTGGAAAATCACCTCTTACTAATCTGAAGTTGTCTGTGAAGAACAGATGGATTCATTTTACAATAACTGATGACTCTCAGACTTACCTTCACCACCATCTGTCCCTTTCACTCCCGGCTCATCGCAGAAGCACACCTTCCTCCACATCATCACCCAATCATGTCTGACCATCAGCCGTCTGGAGGACGGCACCTACGGCCCCACAGTGGAGTACTGTAACAACAGTCCCGTACAGACCTGGATCCTCCACAACTACACACGTCAGGAGGTCGCTAGACGCCTCTACTTCAGTCCCACTGATTATTTTCTCTAAGCTCCTGTCTGCTGTAGGGCTAAGGTGAGCAGGTTAGTACAAATTAGGCTTGGAGTAGAAGCTGGTGGTCATTTTAGCCGCTTTGTAGTGATGTAGTTTGTCATTAGCATTGTTAGAACTTGAAGTAGATTTGTTGGACCTGTTCAGGCTTTAATAGGCACCTTTGTAGCTGATTGTTGTCTCAGTATTTTTTTATCTCGTTTTTGTCAGCGAGAGCAGATAAATGCAGGGCTTGTTGTTGTGATGTTGATCTTTCAGGTATTTAGTCAGAATGTGCATGAAAATTGCTTTAGGAAGCACTAAGTAGCTTTTAGCAGTGACCTTTCAGGGGGAACGTATGAAGACGGGGGCAGAGGCCCATCAAACAATGACAGATGTCCCATCAAGATGGTTCTGTGTATAAGATGCTATCTGCAAGACCTTTAGCCAGCCTTCATGCCAAATTAGATCTCATTTGACATTTATTTTCCAACATAAATATTTTATTTTGATGTGAAAATCCACTGGCTGTCCCGTGGACTGCCAGCGTTTGGTGAATGATGCCTGAGATGGAGGAGGATGTGTTTATTTTTAGCTGATTATCTACGTGCAGGGGCTGATTGAAATGGGCTCGCCATTGTTTACAAGTTCTTTTGAAGTGATCCTTCATTGTGAACCTGCCTTTCATGGCCCTGGCCTCTCAGGCCACTCTCCTATTGGCCTGATGCAGCTGTGTACACTGTGTGCCATGTACATATTGTAAAAGCAATGAATTCCTATTCAAATCAGTGCTTTTCACCACTCGGCTTGCTTATTTACATACTTTTGTAAGGAATGTTTTTTGGCTCATAATTTCTGTCCTTTTCAAGGTTGTCCTGCTTTTTTCCAGTTTCTGTGCCCTTTTCTCTGTAGCCAATTCTGTTCTGCTGAGTTATATGGAGTTTGCACCTGAGAGTCCTGTACTGTTGTATTTCTCAAAAAGCTAAAGAGCAATTTCACTGTAGCATGGCACAGTTTTTGTGTCCAAGCAGGGTAAATTGGGTAAGGAGCTTCCAGGGCTGCTGGTGTGTGTCAGAATTGCGGCAGTAGAGTGACCTGCTGTTAGATGGCCTGATTTGTTGTTCACCCTCAGAGGTCCTTGTGGCATAGCCAGCACAAGAGGAGAGCACGTACACAAGAGCAGGGCACGATTAGAGCAAATGAGACTGTTGCCTGACTGCCTTGAGACAAAAGGAATCTGCTGTTTTTGTATTTCCCACAAAGAGCAGCCCAGCCCTCTAGATCTCCTTCCAGAGTCAGCACAAGATCACACCAAACAGGGACTCCTGTGCCTTTCAGCAAGTCCAGCGTGCTGCTTGGTGACAAAGAGGATAATGTTCCTCAACCGGGGCTTACGGTTAGAAACCGTCCTCATTTAATTAGCTGGTCTCAGCTGTGCACACACTCAGCGACTTGCTCCGGAGACACAGGTTGGTTTGCGAGGAGGCTAAGATGGGAGTTTTCTCTCCCCCAAAGGAGATATGAAATAATTATGAGCAAAGGACAGGACCTCCACGTTTCTAGTATTTTCATTAAATGTGGAATGTTTTTTTCTCTTCTCCGCGTGCTCCTCATCCGTCATCTCTGCCACCAGAGTAGGTTTAGGTCTTTGAATGGAAGAAAAAAAAATACTAGTCTCATTATTGCCTTAGCCAGGTTTTTATGATTTATCGATTAGCTCTACCTCCAGTTCGGAGATGTGTGAATATGCCTTTTAAAGGAAGTATTTAGGATTTTCCTCACTTATCCTTAAAAACTGCATAGACAGAACTCTACTTCTGACTGAGTTGTAACGGTCGTTAAAAAATAATTATTTTTTAAAATAAAGCTAAAAAAGTAAAATGTCTCTGGTGTAGAGCTACTTTATTGTTCTTTTTAGTTTTTTGACAGGTGTGGAAGGTCGAACACCACCTGCTCTCTTTGTTCTTGCTCTGTTTGAACAAATGTGCCTGTAGGGCGGTCTGCGATGTGTACTTCAGGAAAGATGTATGTTTGTGTGTGTGTGTGTGTGCACGCGTGTGCACTTCTTTGTATCCAGGCAGAGAATGTCAGGCCCTTGTGTTTTATAGCTTAAGATCAAACATGGCCTGAGTGTCTCTGTATGCTCATTAGTCTGAATACCCTCTGTCAACAGTCAAAACACAATCTTCTTTTAATGAAGAATTATGCTTCAACCTCAAGATAAATCATACCACATGCAGAATGTGGTTTGTCGTAGTTCACATGTATTTTTCTTTCATGTGTGCTGTGCTATTTAGTTTGAAAATGACCCCCAAGGATGCAGACTGCAGACTGCTCTCTCATTTTGTCTGTGAAGGTTTTCTTTTAAAAATCCATTTTTAAACATTACAATGCTTAGTGGTGTACAGTGGCACCTAACATGCATACAATTTTATTTTCGACATAATTTTTCCCAATTTCTCTCATGGCATTGTTTTCCTCAGCAGAGGCTCTGCTTCTCCTCACGGGCCAAATTCAGCTTCTCTACTTCTCTGCATGTGATCATTAGGACCAGAAAAGCAGCTCAAGAGAGGAACGAAATTGCGGAAGTGTGTTACTTTTGAAGGAATGAACATAAAAGGTTAATCAAGGCCATTGAGAGCTCTCTTCCAGTTGTTGGTGGGGGGTGTTATCTCTGGAGCTCTGGAGCCACAGAGGATTTCTGTGGTACATGCTCATGTAGTACTTGAGTTTAGCTCATCACAACAGGTGTGCTCTTCCAGTCTGGACATTTTAAAAGTACTTGTTCTTTCTTCTGCCAGTTCTGGTTTATGTGATAGAACAGTACACAGACACGAGGGGGGACAATGTGGGGAGTGAAGCAGGAGGTATGTTTGAGCTTATTTTGTTGTGAGGATATGGTGTATGATGCAGAGTAAACAGGAATGTTTGAGGTCAGAATCTTTTCAATCTAAATCCACCCTTAAGAAATACTTCCACAATCTGAGACAGTTAATCCCATAGTAAACATTAATGATATTACTGAAACAATTAGAGAATGAATGTAAATCAAATGAAGGTGATTCTAATAACGTGAGTCAGCATGCACAATACCAGGACACTAAAACTGAAACAGCTAAACGAAATTGACCCTTCCTAAGTCCCGCCCCTTTTTGCTCTGTGCTCTAATAACATTTGAGCAAGC